GATTCTGAACTTCATTACCAACCAAGATGCATTAATTAAGCGTCTCAAGACGCAAGTAGGTCAGCTGGCCACACGGGTTAGGAACATTGAGACATAAATGGACAAATGAAAACTGCCGAGCCAACCGGAGCACGCAAAATCCGTGACAGTGATTATGCCCGTAGAGGGTCCGAGGAAGAAAGAGCGGAAAGCAAAGATCCCAGCTTCGCCACTATCCGAACCAGCCTTACGCAAATCTCCGAATCCGTACAAACCAAAAATCCCTTTCCCGAGCCGGCTCTTAAAAGAGAAGGACCGCCGAATGATTAGAGACTTGCATGCGATGCTGGCTAAGGCCAATGTCGACTCCTCCGGATGTGATCAAGAAGATACCAGAGTATGCGAGATTTTTCAAAGAATTAGCGACAAATAAATAGAGGCTCGAGAGCAGTGATGAGGTGCTAGTGTCAGAAGCGGCAATTGTCTTTCACCATGACTTGCTGAAGAAAGAAAAGGATCCCGGAGGCTTTGTGATCACTATGGCCTTCAAAAATGGGGAAGAGACTTCAGGCATGCTCGACTTAGGAGCGGGCATCTATCTCATGCCACTAGCAGTTTATCAGAGGCTCGGGCTCGGAGAATTGAGGCCCAACAAGATGCGTCTACAGCTAGCTGATCGCTCGTTCCGTCGGCCCGAGGGAATTGTAGAGGACGTACTTGTTAGAGTTGGAAAGCTGATTGTGCCAGTCGACTTCGTCGTGCTAGATGTGGGCGAAGTGCAAAAGAATGAGAAGAGTCACACCATTCTTCTCGGACGATCGTTCATGGCGACCACGAATACGATGATCGATGTCAAGGGTGGGACGCTGAACATGACGGTGCTGGGCGAGTCCGTCGCCATTTCAGTTCGAGAGGGCCAGCCTGAGCCGCAAGTGAATTTAGTTGAAGAGTGTGCCTACCTTAGGGCGATTGAGCAGCTGACTGAGGAAGCGTGCATGCGAGAGCACGCTAAGCGGGCATTGCAGGACCGATCTGTATCTGAGAAATGACGCCGTACCAACCGCCCATTGATCCCACCCGAGCCGAGTTGCATAGATTTGCACCGATCCCAATGGGGCGAGAGATTTAAGCTGATGGAGGCCCGCCATTGTTCGGGGCATGACTTTCTCCTCCCTCCTCCTGCACCTCCGAATTCACAGTGACTAGTCTAGTCACTGTGCCCTGTACGTTTGTATCTTTTCCCGTCTCTTTATTTTCATATTTGGTTTTGTGTCTTTGTTTTTCTTTTTCTGTTGAATGATTATATGGGTTAACTTTCCTTGCATTTAAGATCGACAATGGGGACATTGTTCGGTTTTAAGTGTGGGGAAGTTTTTACATGATTATGTGCTTATATGGTTGATCAGGTCTAGGTCTCTTAGGATGTTTTCTTCATTTTTTTTCTGTTTTATTGTCCTTTCGTGAGTCAGTTTGTGTGTTTTTGAGTATAGATTATGGTGAATTTTAAGTTTGTTGATGATTATTGATGATGTTGAGGAGATGTGATGATGATCATGACTAGTACATCTTGATGAACTTGATGTTTTGTTTTGATTAAACATTTATTTACCCTATGAGAGGTTTGAGCCTTATTTTGTTTCTTGAGAGATATTGGTCGAATTCTTGTTGATCAGAACTTGCTTTGAGTTTATTTTGAAATGAATTGATTGAAGTAGTGATTTGTGAATATGATAGAGGCATTTCTTTGATATAGCTCGTTTTTGCCTTTTTCTTTGACCCTTGATGTGAAAATGTTCATTAGTAGCTCGTTGAACCTGAACCGTATTTCTTGTCAACCGAATTGATGAAAATTCTTGAGTCTTGGCAGTACATTTGATATGATGATGGAGCTGTTAATATGTGTTTGAAGAAGGTGTATAACTTGCTGAGTTGCATTTTGGGTGCTCGACAAAAAAAAGGGGAATTACAAGACGAACTTAAGGATTCTACTCCGATTACTTGTGGAATTTCCACGAGTAATGAGTATCGGGAAACCACTTTAGGAAACTTGATGACCTCCAATGTTTAAACCTAGAGAATGTTGTCCTGATGTCTCAGTCTTGTTTAAAAAAAATAAAATAAAATAAACTCCATAAATAAAAAAAAAAAGTAAAAAAAAAAAAAAAGTCGAGTACTTGAAGTGCAATTCAGTTGAGCAATATGAGTGTTGTAGGGAGCTTTGATGGGGATAATTGATTTTTGGGCTTACTTTGGATAGGTGGTGAGGTTTCGAGTAGTTTATATGCTCGAGGATGTAATTGTCTATTTGGACCACTTTATCTTTATATTGTTCCTTTCTTTGATGCCTACAATGCAAACCCGGAAGTCCTCTTGATTTACAATTCATGACCTTCGATTTTTTTTAGAGTATGAATAGATGATAAGGAAGCTTATGTTGATGCATGATAGATCGACCAATTTTGAGAGTCCCAATTCTATATTCACAAAAGAAACTGAGTGAGGCATATACATATTATACTCCCGTGCTTGAGAGTTTGTCTTATCAAAGCATTGTATTCGAATTGTAATTGAGGTGTTCTATATTGGTCATTGGAATTCTCCTCGGCTAAGTTGATTAATTTGAGACTTGTCTTGTCTGAAACTATTATCCATGCTCGTTTGTTTGTTTTCGTTTCTTTTCTTTTCTT